GTGATAACACTCGTTGCCTTCTCTAGTGCAGCTCAACCAGGTCTCGTCCCATTCGTCGATATTTGTGATATCACAAATCCCGGAAAATATGCGTTGTAGTCCAAATGAGTCGTTCATTGTAGTTTTTGAAATGTGATTTCTGTTAAATAAAATATGTCCTTTTGAAGTGTACTTTGAGCTTTGTCACTTAGCAGATCTTTTTTATGCTCAAACAGCAGCATTACAGACTAACTAAAGTTGAAAAAGTGAAAAAGCATAATAGGACCCCTTTAAAAAAGACGGTTGCTAACAAGTTGCTAAATGGGATTACAGGTGCTGTCGGAGACATTAAACGTCATCACGCCGAACAGTTTATCAATTTATAGAATTTTCCAGTTGTAGTATAATTAGTACAATTAATTGTAGAATAACCTATTAATAGTTTTTGCATAATGATGCATTTTAAAGTTAATGGCTAAACGGATGTTTATAAACGTTCACATTGTTGTTACAGATTAAATATAACACAATAACATTAAATACATATTTTTACCAGGTTAAATGCTGGTTATTAGAAACTCAAACCCCTTTAGCTAAACCTCTCAACAATTGGTCGCGCACATCCACCATGTTTGTAGTTATAGCGCTTTTTTATTTGTGTTTGTAGTTCCGAGTTTGTAGTTCACACTTCACAAATCGACCTGAAATAGTAGACCATCAGGGGACTTTTGGCCTACTCTTCAACATACTATGCTTTGGGACACACTTATTATAATCTCACATACTATTTAGGATGGATAGTATGAACATTGAGACGACAGGTGCTGTCGGAGACATTAAACGTCATCACGCCGAACAGTTTATCAATTTATAGTATTTTCCAGTCGTAGTATAATTTGTAATGCAATTAATTGTAGAATAACCAATGAATAGTTTCCCGCATTTTATATTGTTCTTGGACAATGTTTTTTTTGCTTTGCCCCGAAATGCAACAAGTGTTCGGATGGAAGATGCTCATTTTATCGCTTTCCTACTGATGCGGAGACTCTGGGTTTGCACCATAAGGTAAACTCGTATGATTATTCCATGTAAACGCCACATTTACCAGCTTAGTCACGGAGAAAGTAAAACTTTAACAATGCATAGTGCTTAAAGGGTTAGTTCAACCCAAGATGAAAATTCTGTCATTAATTACTCACCCTCGTGTCGTTCTAAACCTGTAAGACCTCCGTTCATCTTCAGAACACAAATTAAAATATTTTTGATGTAATCGGAGAGCTCTGACCCTCCCATAGACAGCAATGGAATTAACACGATCAACGTCCAGAAACGTAGCAAGGAGACAGAGTATGTTAGCGGAGCGGTGGGATTTTGAATGGAGGGAGGAGTGGATTTTTAAAAGTTGGAGCGTCATGGTTTTCACTCGCTCCAAGAGCCCTCCACCACCGCTCCATCACGAGTACAATTCATGCCAACAGTCCGTAACATAACTGCATATTTAGCAAGAATTCACATGTAGCCTATTTAGCTAGCTTGATGCAGAAGGATCACTCAAATCAGAAAGAATGTGAAGCTATGATGACGGCAATGGACATGAGCGGGAAGTTATTTCTCAAGGAATTTGTTTGTTCCTTCTAGATACTGAATAACTGCAAAAAGCAGCAATTATACCTTTTAATGCTGACATCCATGTTATTAGCTTGGCATGTGGTAGGAAAAAAACTTGCACACAAGTGTTCCAATAAGCCTCTTTGA